TTTTTTTTCCATACAGTGTACCAAACCAAAAACGAAAAGATCCATGCAACCAATGGAAAAAAAATATTTTTTTTTTTTTTTTTTTTTGAAAAAAAAGATGAGAGGAAATAATATTTGCAAATGAATGCAAACCATGGCCATAAATTTGTATAATAATGTTTATATCCAAATGTTTTTTTTTGTATTATGGAGTGTTTAATTTTATGGCCGAAAAAAAATAATAATAAAAATACTTTGAAGCTGTTTCTTTCTCTTCTGTAATATGCATTATTGATGTTTCAATGGCTGGATATTTTATTTCAAATGAATATTGGCCGCCGCATCCGTTGGTTTACAATGATGATGATAGTGGTAGTTGTTATGGTAATTTGTTGATGATCATGTTCGTTGCAAGGTAGTCGATGTGTAATATTTGTTTGTTTTTTTTTAAAAATCTCATTTTAGTCCTTATTATATTACATTGGATTATAATCAATGAATATATAATCCACGTTAATTTATCAATACAAAATTGTAATTTTATTAAGCCAAATCCCAGTAACATTTGTGAACCATCGTTAATATTGAATTTTTCCTCTTCTTCCTTTCTAAATGTGTTTTGTTTTAATAAATAACAATGATGATATCTAAACAACAACAATGAACAAACAATAAAATAATGATAGCTATTAGGAAAATATCAATAAAAAACAAGTTTTTTTCATTTGATTGATTTGATAGATATTTTTTCGATTGTTTTTGTTCATTGATTCGTTTTGTTTTATGAATTTGATTTCATATTTACCTTATCAAATATGTATTACAAACAAACACATTGTCTTATTGATTTTGATGTAAAAGAAACAAATTTCTCATATATGTAATGATATTAATACAAAGTGATTGTTTTTTGTTTTGTTTTCCTATTACGTTTCTCATCATTATCATTTCATCAAATTCAAATTTTTTTTCTTAGGTAAAATAAAAATATTTCGCAATATTCATCGCTTCTTCTTCTTCTTCTTCGAAATAGAAATAAAACATAAATTTTTAATGATGTCAACAAGACAATGTCATTTTATGATATAATAATGATGATGATGTATTATATGATGAAATTAGTTAGAAAAAAATCCTGTAAATGTCATCACGACAATTACAAATATTTGGAACATGATTTTCATTATTTGAATCAAGTATAATTTTAATGGTTTTAAGCCAAAAAAACTAACTAATGACAATCAACAGATGAAGCATTATGTCATATGAAATGAAAGTATTTGATTTTTTTTGTTGCTAATCAATTTTGACAAAATAATTTAATAGTTTGGAAAAAAAATTAAACATTCGAATCTTTTTTTGCATAATAAAATCAAATATTCTTACAACAATGCAACTTGCAATGTATGAAATTGTTTATGAAAATTTCCCGCTTCTATAGAATTTAACAAATATCGCGATGATGAGGCAACATGTCGTTTGAGCGCGTTTAACTCAAAAAAAAAAAACATTCGATTATCTTGTTACTATACATTTTTATCACGTTGCTAAGAATTAATTTAATTTCCGAGAAAAAAAAATATTACAAATCAAGTAAATCTGATTTAACAATATCTGTATCACAATCGTACCTTTTGTGAAATCGATTTTTTTTCCAATTTAACATTGAAAAATAAGATTTTCGAATCATGCCACTATTGACCAGAACAAAACGTAAAAATCCATCGATTAATCAATCGACAGCATCCATTGTGGATAGTGATCTTTCCGGACAAATCGAAACTGTACGAGAAATCGAAGAATCTGACGAAAATGAAATTGGAAGTCCATTAAAAATTGCTCGTTTCTCAAATCAAAAATTATTAGCCGAGAAAAATAATTTTACCAATTCAGCTTTACAACATACTAATCAAGTGCCAAAAAGTGATAAAAAACAGACAAAATCAGATACATTTCAACAAGAATCAATTCGGTCATCTGATATTGATCTTGATTCTGGTAACATTTCTAATGTTGATGATTTGTTTGATCGACAAGATGAAAATTCGAATTTCAATGAACAACTTTTAGATGATGAGGAACCGATCTTCAATGACATCGATAACAACAATAATGATGATGAACATGACGAATATAATCCGACCATTGATTCAAACCGTATAAGTGAACAACAAATTTCCACCTATAAAAATACATTGACCGCAAATACTGCCTTTAATTCAAATCAAAATTACGTCACCGGTGAAATTGGACATATCCGTGAGATACAGTTGAAAAATTTCATGTGTCATAAAAACTTTCGTTTAGAATTTGGACCTAGAATTAATTTTATTGTCGGTCAAAATGGAAGTAAGTATTGCTTGGTTGATTGTTTTCGCATTTTAATTTGCAACATTTTTTTTGTATAGGTGGGAAATCTGCAATCTTGATCGGAATTGTGTTGTGCCTTGGTGGCCGTGCATCTTCCACAAATCGTGGCTCAGGACTTTCATCGTTTATTAAAAATGGAGAATCACGAGCCCAAATAATATTGAAAATTGCCAATTTTATTGAAGGACAATCGACAAAAGAAGAAAGCTACAAATATGATCGATATGGAAAAAGTATTATTATAGAACGTACAATCAACATAAATGGTTCAAGTTCCTACAAATTGAAATCCGAAAAGGGTTCAATTGTTTCAGAAAAAAAAGAAGAACTAGATAATATTCTTGCTCATCTTGGCATTTTTTACGATAATCCAATTTGTATCCTTACACAAGAAGTTTCGAAAAATTTTCTCAATTCAAAAAGTGTATACGATAAATATAAATTTTTCATAAAAGCTACTCAAATCGAAGAAACAAAACAATCTTATCAAAATTGCCTTGAAAATCATGGCATTACCCAGAAAATAATTACCGTAATTGATTTTTTTTTGTCATTTGATGTCTGTTTAAAATAATTTTTTTTTCTTTCAGGAAAAAAATGAATTGCTGAAATCGTACAAGGCTCAACTAGAAAAATATCGTGGACAAGTTGAGACTGTTGAAATGCTACGAAACAATGTGAGCATTATGAAACGATTAAATGATGAAGAATATTGGGCTTGCATCAATGAAACTCGCAAAGAATTGGATGAAAAAAAAGCAAAATTGAATGTTGAAGAAAAAAGTATCGAAACAAATGCTGATGAAATATTCAATATTAAACGTGAAATTGATGAAATAATTCGACAAAAAGAGGAACTTGATGAACGTTTGAAAAATTTTGGTTCTATCGTGAAACAAATGCAGAATGATTTGCAGGAGGCAAAGAACGATGCAGATCAAATGTCTTCACAATTAGTCAAGAAAGAAGCTGAAGTTAATACTGTTAAAAGAGAAATAAATATTCGCCGTAGTGAGATCAATGATATTAGTGAAAAAATTGCTTATATTGAAAAAAATAGTCAAGATTGTCCGGAATCAAGTTGGGAAGAACGTATCCAGAAACTTAATGAAGAATTAAACAATAAAAAATTCGAACAGGATTCATTGAAGTCAAAATTAGCCGAATTGCAACAACACAAAGATGAATATGACAAGGAGAAAGTTCGTTTCAAAGAAGAGGTTCAGAAAAATCAAATTAACATGGATGTTTGCCAACGCGAAATCAAGCGATTAACTGGCGATGGTAACAATCGTCTTAGACGTTACGGTGCTAAATTTAGTGAATTGAATGAAAAAATTGATTTATTATACAAAAACAAAAAATTTCATCGTAAACCATTTGGACCTATTGGTGAATATATCCGATTAAATGACAGTAAAGATGCATATGCTGTTGAATGCTTACTGAAAAAAATGCTTTATGCCTATGTTGTCGATAATAACAATGATGCTAACATACTAAAAGATCTCATTAGTCGTTTATTCACTAGTCCAACTGATATGCAAAATAAGCCAACAATTATTATTCGAAAATATGTCCCGTTACATGATGTATCAAGATCTCAGGCAACCTCAACAAATTATAAAAATTTTCTTCAATTGATGAATATCAAGAATGAAGACTATCCAGTTGCCAATTGTCTTATCGATCATTTAAAAATCGAACAAATTTTGTATATCCCGAAATTTTCAGAAGCTCAACGTGTTTTGTCTCGTCGAGAATTGGTACCGAGAAACTGTTGTCGCGGCTATACATCTGATGGGGATGTGATGTTTCCATCCACCAACCGAAGTGATTACAAATGCTATCCAAACAAAAATCCCAATAAGTTTGCTAGGATTTTAGTCAGGGATTCTACAACAACTATTGAACATTATAAAAACCAAATTAACGATCTTAAGAGAAAAAGTGAAGAATTATATCGGGAACAAACGGAACATAACGGTTTGATAGAAGATAATAAAAAAGAAATCGCATTAATTCGGCATAAAATTAATCAATGTGATATTGATCTGCATAACATGGAAAGTAAGCGTTCGGAAATGGAGGTATGTAATTGATCATATTTTTTAAGTTTATAATAATTTTTCGTTTTTCATTTTAGGCAAAAGCTGCAATCAGACCTGTGGAAGCTGTTGCATTGAAAGAGGAAGTTCTCAAACTTGAAGAAGAACGAAAGGAATTTGAAAACCAACTACAGGAACTGACAAACGAACGTAATGGCCTGAAAGATCAATATAATGACTTGTTGAATAAATCTATCCAAAAACAACGAGAATATAAGAAACTTTCCGAATCACGTGATCCTATGATTGAACAAATTGAAGAATTGAACGATAAACAAAAAAATCTTTTGGATAGATCAGAAATCAAAGCTAATGATCAACAAATCTTATTGCAGTCGAAATTAAAGCTCGAACATGAGATCGAAGTTTATGAGAAAAAACTTCATGAAGAAGAAGTTAAGGCGTTAGAGGTGACCGAAACACCAATTGAAACAACAAGAAGTTCGGCAGAAATCCAGAAAGAACTGAAACGAATGCAATCGATGATTCAAGTTAATGAGCACTTGTTAGATCCAAAAGTTCAAGAACAGATATATAAATCATATAATGAACTGAGCAATTCGATTTGTGGTGTCGAGAATGAGTTGGATAATATTAATGAACATTTCGTTGAATTGAAAAAATCAACTCATTTACGTCGTATGGCTTATCAAAACATGTTGATATTCATTGCAAGATTAGTCAATATCCATTTTCATGAATTTCTGAAACAGAAAGAATTCGTAGGACGTATTGATATCAATTTTAATGAATCATCTAAAGATAATGATAAAGGTAAAGGTAAATCAAAAGCAAAAACATTGGACCTTATCATTAAACCACGAATATCCTCAAAAAATTCACAACATCAATCCAATAACGAAATTCAAAGCTTTTCAAGTACAAAAAGTTTATCGGGTGGTGAGCGTTCATTTTCGACAGTCGCTTTTATAATCTCATTATGGCAGATTTGTCAATCACCATTCAAAATTCTTGATGAAGTCGATGTTTTCATGGACATGGTTACAAGACAAATTGCATTGGATAGTTTGGTGGAATTTGCTGCTAGCAAATCGAGTAAACAATTTATCTTTCTTTCGCCATTATCTTTACAACAATTTAATCACAGCGAATTTATTAAAATTTCTCAAATGCCTGAACCGGAAAGAAAATGAACATATAATGTAAAATTTGTACAAAAGTACAATTTAGTTTATTGATGTAAAAAAAAATTAATCCATAAATACGAAATAAAAATTTGTTCTCAATATAAAAAGTTATAATCATAATAAATTCATTGTTTATAGCTTCGTTTCTTATTTACATGCTGAATTCGGTTCGTTCAGAAAATTGACTTTCATCCATTGAGGTCATAGTACTTGAATGATTAATATTCTGCTGATGGATAATAAAGAAAAAATTATTTTTTTCGAATAAAAATCTACGGGTATACTTACGGCGAATTTCCTTTTCAATGCAGTCTGTACCATATCATTTAATGATTGATTGATATGATCATTGATTCCTAATAAAGAATTTCGAGTTATTTTACGTAATAATTTACGTTGTTGAATAAGATCGTCGAGAAATAATCTGTTTACAATGAATAAAAATACAACAAAAAAAACAAAATATTAATAATTGAAATGGTTGCAAAAATACCTAGGATAATAATTGGTGAAACTTGTGGAACATATAAAGCTGTTCCCATTTGTAATTAAAGTCCATAAAATCTGATCAACTAATCGATAGGATTGTTTCGATATTGACCATGTTAATATGGATGCTGACCTTTGTTTTTTATTGGATACAAAATTATCATCATTTTGAATTGGCCGACCATTGAATTGAGTTTTTTGCTGTGAGACAAAAACTGGATTAGGAGTACTAGTGAAATTAAATTCTTTCGGTGGCAATGGAGGTGGTGGTGGTGGAATATTCATTGTTTCCAATGGTTTAGAGTTTGAATCATCAATCGATATGTCACTCAAATTTATTTGATCATGAAGACTGCTATCTTTACAAAGACAACGATTTAAATCCCATTCTAATTTTTCCACACGATCAGATAAATTTTTAATGATTCTTTCATATTGATCAATACGTTCGACAATTTCAATCAATTCACTTAAATTTAATTTCCTTTCTGTCAACTAATTTATAATAGAAAAAAATTTACATTAAAACATTATACAACACGATTACTTACCAATGAGAATGACTGCAAAATGGAACATGAATTGATGACAAAATAGGTGAATCGTTTCCAAATAAAACTCCACAATTTAAATAACAAAAAATAATTGTAAATAAAATGAATAATATTAGCCATAATATTAAATTTTTTAGATGAAATGATTGAAATTGACATTGTCAATATGAAATACAAATGAAAAGAAAATTTTCGTCTTTATTTCTATTTAAAATAATTTTCAAAAATAGAGTTCGCAATAATCACGATCAAATTTAAAGTTCAAATTTTAAATTTAAATGCGCGCCCGTTTCATGATTCATGGACACATTCTTTGTGAATGAAAAATTCTATGAATCACATGTTCATTTTTTTTATTTTTTTGGATCGCGCGCGGTCAAACAATTTGGATATTTAATCATAATGCTAAAACTATGTTTTCATTCTATCGTTTCAAAAAACTCTATATTTTCGAATTCAAAAAGACTTTGTAATGGATCAGGAATTGACCAAAAAATAATAGATTATCTATCCAAATTTCCGAATACATATGTGCAAGAAAATAGTGAAAAGTTTTGGTCATCAATATGGGAACAACGTGAATTATTTGTCAATAAGGATGCAGAGCCAAAATTTCGTCTTTTATTGCCGCCACCTAATATCACTGGTTCACTGCATCTAGGTAAATTATCCAAAAAAAACTTTGAATTCGATCCAAATTTCGTTTTTTTTTCACAGGTCATTCATTGACTGTTGCAATCCAGGATGCCTTATGTCGATATCATCGAATGAATGGTGAAACTGTTCAATGGTATGGTGGCACCGATCATGCCGGAATTGCTACTCAGATTATCATTGAAAAACTTCTATGGGCCAAATATGGCAAAAATAGGCAGGATGTCTCTCGTGAAGAATTTGATTCTATTTTTGAGAAATGGAAACAAGAACGAATTTATGACATTGAACGGCAGCTTAAATCGCTGGGAGTTTCGATCGATTTTCAATCCAATTATTTCACTTTGTCGCCAGAAATGTCTAGAAATGTAAATCGAGCTTTTATCGAATTATTTAATCGTGGAATGATATATCGAGCTTCTTATATGGTGAATTGGTCTTATTATCTGCAATCAACATTGTCGGATATTGAAGTTGAACATAAATTCATATCGGGTCCGACAGAATATAAAGTACCTGGTTGTGATGAACCTTTTCAACTTGGTGTTTTACATTATTTCAAATATCCTTTAGAAGATATTGATTCGAACGAGTTTGTTACGATAGCCACTACAAGAATTGAATCAATTATGGGCGATGTAGCCCTGGCTGTTAACCCTAATGATACACGTCATGCCCATTTGATAGGAAAATTTGCATTTAACCCATTTACCAATGAAAAAATGCCAATTATAGCTGAAGAAAGTGTGAAACCAGATTTCGGGACCGGTGTACTCAAATTAACACCTGCTCATAGTTCCATTGATCATGAAATAGCCCTCCGACATAATCTTCCTTTGAAAACCATTTTCAATGATCAAGGTCTTATTGACTGTGATTATAAACCATTGAACAACGTACATCGATATTTAGCTAAAGAACTAGTCAAACATGAGCTTATTAAACGAGATTTATATTGTGGCTCAAAAGATCATGGACACTGGCTACCGATTTGTTCTCGAAGTGGTGATATAATCGAATCGCGCGTTGTACCTCAATGGTTTCTGAAAACAGATGATGCTCGATATGCTGCCGAATTCGTGGCCAATCGTGACAATCTTTCTGAATCATCCAAAGACTTTTGGAAAAAAATAAGTAAAAATCTAGATGAAAATAGTCGAAATATGGCTATCATTCCATCAGGCTATCGAAATACTTGGAAAGATTGGTTTAGTCGATATAAAGATTGGTGCATTTCTCGTCAAATATATTGGGGACATCAAATACCTGCATATGAGGTTATTCTTTCTTCAAAGCCAACCAATATCTGGATAGCTGCAATGAACGAAGAACAAGCCTTGAATGTGGCTTGTGAAAAACATGGTTTTCAAAAAGAGGAAATCAAATTGCGTCGTGATCAAGATGTCTTGGACACATGGTTTTCATCAGCATTATTGCCACTTGCCGTAACTGGTTGGTTTGAATCAAAACGTTTTCAAGATCTTCCACTTTCATTAATGGAAACTGGTCATGATATCATTTTCTTTTGGGTAGCAAGAATGTCTTTAATTTCATTAATGTTATCGGGTCGTTTGCCATTCGACAAAGTATTATTGCATGGAATGATATGTGATGAAAAAGGAAAAAAAATGTCCAAATCAAAAGCCAATGTTGTTGATCCTCTTCATCTGATCGAAGGAGCGTCATTTGATCAAGTTTTGCAACAGAATAAAGATTATTTTGATTCTGGTTTGATAACACGTGAAAAGTTCACTCAAGTAATGAATAGATTGATTAAAACCATACCGAAAGGTATTCCTGTATGTGGAGCAGACATGCTGCGATTATCTTTGCTTCAATCACGATTCAAGGAACAAAATATCAAATTTGATTTGCAAAAAACTATTAAAAAACGCGTGTTCGCTAACAAAATGCATCAAACCCTTCGCTTTATTTTGATCAATTTGACGGATGAATTCAAAGAAGAATCAACATTTGTTACCAATACAAATAATCTTTCAAAAGTGGACAAGTGGATTTTATTCAAATTGGCAGATTTGGTGAATCATTGTCGATTATCATTTGATTCCTACGATCTTCATCATTCGGCCAGAAAAATTGAACAATTCTGGACTGATCATTTATGTGATGTTTATTTGGAAAGTATCAAAAAAGACATTGTTGACAGAACGGAGTCTTATGCAAAATCCATGAATGTTATGCTATACGTAGTTCGACAAACTCTCAAATTAATTCATCCCTTCATGCCATTTATAACTGAGAATTTGTTTCAACAGTTAGAATATCGCCTCTCTCCTAATTACTCTTATCGTAGCATTTTAGAATTGGAATATCCAAAAGTGAAAAACGATCAAGTTCTTATAAATTTTGATTTTTCTATCGAAAACGATATGGAAAAAGTTATCGAAATCACAAAGAAAATTCGCTGGTTCAAACAACATTTCCATATTCCTAAAGATTCTGCAATAGAAACGATAAGAATAGCTTCTTTACATAGGAATTTATTCGATTTTCAATCACTAATCAAATCTTCTATCAAAATCGATAACTGCTCAATTGAATTTGTGAACCTTTACGATATTTATAAATATGATGATTGTTATTGCGTCAAAGTCGATATTAATAATAGCAATCGATTCGAAAAAAGTGACGACAGTACTTCTAGTAGTGATTCAGATGAAGAAACTTTAACTACATCAAATTCGCTCAAATGGGATGAAATCTACATATTGTTTTCGATTAATCATGAACAACTAAAATTGAAATTAATGGAAAAATTTAAAAATAATCAAACAAATAAATGTGATCAATTAATGGCCGAAATGGATTTATTTCATTTTGAAAATTTTACAAAAAATTATAAAAAACTAACAAAAATAGTTAGCTAAATAAAATAATTATAAATCATAGTAAAGACTACAATCAAGATCATATGAAAATTTTTTCTGATCAACCAATAAAGTTTTTGTTTTGTGTATTACATCATCCATTGAAGTTTCAAGAATATCTTCCATATTCCATTCATAACGAGGCAATTCACTGCAAATCTGTTTTGAAAGTGAAGCAATTTCAGGAAGATAATGTGATTGAAGTAAATTCAATTCCCACATATAACTATTTAATGCATTAGTTTTTTCTGGATCTTGTTCATGATCAAGAAATGGATCTTGTTCGGGTTCAATTTGTTTATAATCTAGCATTCGTTTGATTAGTGGATGTCTGATGAATAAATTCCCTATGAATGGTAATAAAATTAGTATAGTGTCGGGGGTTGAATAAATTGTTAAACGGGCAAATTTCTTTGCAAACGAAGCAACAATTGCTGCAGATATATGTGTGGATGTTAGGAATAAATCGCACCAAAACAAAAACCGTGGTCGATGATTCACATAAGTAATCGCAGGTTCCAGAAGACCGTAAAGTTGGCCAAAAAAATTTGGATATTCTAAGTTGCATTTATGAATCAATGTGTAAAGTGGACTAAGACTCAAAATTGAGATGATTCCTCCCATTTGAAACGAATTTATAAGAAAATCAGCCAACAATAATGGATTTTCAAAGTGTCTCATTGCATATTTGTCAAGATGAAGCAGAGATTTTTTAAACACCTGTGGTGGTAATGGAAAAGTGAAAAATTTGAGCCACAATGACGAATAAATTTGGGCATCACGTTGATAATCGAATTTGAATTTACGTGTAGGCAATTGAATCCATTTAGCCATATAGTTACAATTAGCATCAGAATGTTCAATGCGTTGAAGTTCACACAAACGAATCATAGTTTTACGGCCGTCATTAGATTTTTTAATTTTAAATTCTGATTGTAAACTTTTAGGTAACAAATCTTCCGGAGCAATTAATCGGATAGGAAAAAGCATTTCAATGATATTGAGAATTAGACTTTGATTATTACATCCTTTATTCTCGTCAATAATCTTATGCAATATTTTCATGGTAAAATGCAATAAATCATCGTATTGATACTTTGAGTAGATTGTAATCAATTCTTGATTATAAAACAGTTCTGAGATTAGAGATCGAACTATTCTCTCCAAAAGTTCAACCGGAAAGCTTATTTCATCATTATGAATTGCAGAACGGTAAGGGAATTTTCCTTCTTCTTCTACGAACTTTATCAGTGATTCTAGACACAATTGTCTTAGTTTCAGCGAATAGTTGGATTGTTTGTTTTCCAAAATTCCACTAAAAAGATTGATGGTGGATTCGTATAGAGAAATAAGCCAAGATTTAAATTTATTTATTTTGCTGTGTTGTCCTGTGTCATCGTCTTTAAACAAGACCATTTCACGAGAATCAATATAATTGGTCCATATCTTAGACAGACATCGTATTAATGATTCAACATAAAGGTTACCAGCTTGGATTGAATCCAAATTTGCTAAACTATCAATAAGATCGATAATCCGATTAGCATTTTTTCGGTCTTGAAGTATATCTGATGTAATTTTGTTCAATTCCTGTAACGGAATTAAAATTGATGATTTTGATCCATTCATTTTTGATTCCATGTGACCACTTCAAAAATCCTATTTTGACATCAGAAGTTCCATCCAATCACATGGTTTTCACACACCTAAAATTACCTCAACAAAGCTCTGTTTTTAATCACGTGACAAGAATATTTTGACTATTTCAACTCAATTATTTGACATGCCTGATGATTTTGAGTTAATTTTTGAATAATAATTTCAATTTTTATCAAACAAAAAAAATGTCATCGGAACCTGTTATAAATAGTGTTGGAATTCCAACAGCTGAATTCTTGGTAACTATCATTCTATATTTCAAATAGATTCTCAAATTTTTCATATTTAATTGATCACAGCAAGATGTAGATGCTTTTATGCAAAAACCGGAAAATAATTCGGCAACTGAAGTAATCAAACGATTAGATGAACTATATATGAAATATAAATTCATGGAACAAAATCTTCATCTGAAAAAAAGCAAATTATTACAACAATATCCTGACATTGAAAAGAATCTAGAAATACTAAAAACACTCAAAGACAAACATGTAAATATAATTTTGTATGACTTTTTTTTCTATTGAATTAATCGATAATTATTTAGACGAAAAATGAAGAAATGGATGCTAATTATCAACTAGATTATCATCTATACACAAGAGCAATCGTGCCACCAACTGATAAAGTTTCTCTCTGGCTTGGGGTATGTATTTTGATTAATTTCTTGCTGATAAAGGTAGATTAATATTTTGAATACTTGAAATGTAGGCGAATGTGATGCTTGAATATTCAATTCAAGAAGCTGAAGAATTATTAAATAAAAATTTAATCCAAGCTGAACGATCATTGAAACAAATTGAATTGGATATGGATTTTCTTAAAGATCAGATTACAACAACTGAAGTAAATATGGCCCGAGTATATAATTGGGATGTACGTAAACGAACCGTCGAACAGGCATCGAAAGACCAAACAAAAGATGAGCAAAAGATTCTGGAATAAAATAACAATGGATGAAAGCTTTCTTTTATGAATCAATTTCAATTTATCCTCATAAATTTTAGTACTAATAAGATGAAATCAATTTATGAAATTAAAAATAAACAACGAATTATTTTTTTTCATAACAAACGAAATTAATTAAATATAAATGTTTTTCGGGATTTACGACCAAACACATTTTTCCATCTATATTTCATCATTTTGATTAACAATGTTATCGCTATGAGTGACATTTTCATTTTCATTAGGTTGTCGATTAAGCAGATCATGTATAGCCACAAAACTGCGATTTTTCGAAGCAGAACTCCATGTTGCTGCATTTATCGAATGTAATGTTGTTATTGATGGTGATGGTGTTTTTGCTTTTGGGATTTCATCCACAGCAATTGAATTGTTGACCGATGTCTGTTTGTTTGTCAAATCAGTCAAACTGGTATCCGAATCGTTTACGATTGTTGTTCGATTCTTAATCCATGATTCTTTTGCAAATGGTGGCAATGAATTTATAACGCCAATCAATTCGTTGAAATTTTCACTATTGTTCAAAAATTCTGCATGTTTTTGGTAATTTAGATGCTATATAATTAAAAAGTGAAATAAAGATAATTATAAAAATTTAACATTATGGCACAGAATATCTTACAGATTCAAAATCCGTATAGTCTTTATGACAAATTTCACAATAAGTGACATTTTTCTTCTTTCTATTATCTACAGCTTTATTGTTCGTAATGGTATTCGTTGTAATGGATTTGCCATTCATAATGTTTGGTGTGTTTGTATTCGTTCCAGTCAATATCGGTGTTGTTAACATGGTACATTTTTCATTCAATTGTTTATATATGGTCGGTACGGTTGATTTGTTTGATTGCTGTGATTGATTAGGATGTGGCTGTTGACTAATATTGACCAATGGTTTTGCTTTGAAAAATGGACATGATTCTGGTTGATATTCGAAATTCATCTCTGGCCATTCATTTAATTCTTTAAAATTAGGTCTATATTTGTTTGAATTATCGATGATCTTAATGAAAGGTGGACATAATTTACGCGTTGTATTCAGTTGGCTGGCAGTGGAATGTTTCAATTTACGAACATTTTCAATATGATCTTCACAGAATTGTAATAGTTTGCTTGATCTTATTATTCGAATATTAAATGTACGAGCCAATTCTAGTGGGTCCGATGCTTGAGAAAATGCTGATGTTGTTGTCTTTTCCAATAATAATTTTCCTCTTGACTATTTCAAATAAAAATGAAAAAAAAACTTCGAACCAAGATATATTAACAAAAAAAACTACACTTACAAATGCATTATTCGAATTCAGAGCCAATTTTGGTGTTGGTGATTGTTGATCGATTCCAGTTATCGTTGTTCTTACGGTTTTTGGCCGACTTGTTACAACAATGCTGGTATTTTTATTGATAAAAATATCAATTTTCTATAAAATGGATATTTTCAAAAAAAATAAATATTAACCCATAAATTAAGCTATCGGAAAGAAAATTGACAATTGATAATACATACTCCGCCGAGTTGTATAATTTTTTCAGATAATGTTGCATTTATTTGTGTAGAATTTTTTGGATCCAAAAAGAATGAATATTTATCAAATGGTCGACACGATGTTGTTGTTGTCGTTGTTTTCTGTGTTACATTCGAATTATTATTGACAAAATGTTCCATTATTTTGAAATTTTTTTTTATTCTATTTCCAAAAGATGATAAGATTTATGAAGAAAAAAATGATATTCTTGTTTTGTTTTACACTGATAATATTTTTTTTATATAAAAAAGAAATAATCAAAAAAAAACTCATCGATTTTATTTCAATCACTATCACATAAAACCGCCAAAAATGTGAACAGACAACACAGAGCAAACAAATAAAAAATGCGCGCGCGCGCGTTTCATGATTCCATCAACATTGCCAGATACAACAACACAAATAATAGCGCAAAAAACTTGGGAATTTTTTTTTTTGGTTCAATTGTGAACAAGTCAAAACTGGATTTATTTATTCATTTTTTGTTTTTTAAAAAATTAAAATATGACATGAAAAAAATGGCGCCATTGATGTTTTCTTTTTTTGTCAATCTAAATTGGCAAATATATCATTTGCATAACAAATCATTAATTCGATAACACGAATTTTTAGATGAACATCCAATAATATTTGCATTGTTCCATTATTTTCATGATGATCATGATGATTATGATTATGATGATGTTGATGATGAATATGATTATGATTATTATTGCTAAGGCCATTTTTCATCGATAATAATGATAAAGAATTTCGTTTTATTCGATTATTATCATCATCATCATTATTATTATTATTATTAGTTGTATTATTGTCATTGTTATTATCATTTTTAGATTCAAATTGATGATGATGAATGTTGTTGTTTCTGTTTTATATGGAATATAAATGAAAATTTACTGTATGATTATTTTTTTTAACAAATAAATAAATTGAATGTTTACATAATAATAAACATAGATTGTATACCTTTCATCACGAAAAATTATCGATGAAAATATGATTGCCAATGAATTAGCTGTCATTTCTGTTATATGTTGACGATCAGCTATACGTTTTAAATGATATATTAAATAGGCTAAATTATTTCGATATGTTATAGTTAGACAACCAACTAATCGTCGTAATTCAAACACCAGAATAGCAATACCAGATTGTGTATATGGAATTTTTCTAACTGGCCATTCACTACCGATTGTAATCAATTCTTTTTGTAGATTTTTATTGAATATCGGTGTCGATATCTATTAAAATATTAATTTATTCCAATTATTTTTCTTGTTATACAACAAAAAATAATTATAGATAGTTGAATAAGAAAAAAAAAAGAATTACATACACAAAGAAGATAATGTTTAATGATACCGGCAATATCATGCGGGCTAATCTGACTTAAATCAATAAGATGTGAACCAAATTCAAAGCTTAGGCACAATTTTTCAATTTGCGTAGGATCGGCATCAATTTTATATATTCCACGTAATTTATGTATAGGTCTTTTTTCAATTTCCATTATACATGTATGTAATACATCGGATATTTGATTATTATCAGATATTTCCAAACCGAACACAGCCAATCGTGGTGGCATCACTTTATTTGGACATGTTACATATAAATTTTGTAAACATTTTTTATGTCCGGCCAACTTGCACTATAATTTATTCAACGTTTTCACAAAGCATAAATGTTGATAGAATAAAGAATAAAGAATAAAGTGAAGAAAATTATAATTAAATTCAGTTATCCTGCATAATGATTGAATAAAATGTGTAGCGGTTTTGTTTTCCGGAAGAAAAACAAATACAAAAACAAGCAAATAAAAGCGAGAGAAAATATTACTCACCTGTACACATTCATAGCAATAGAAATAGATATTATCTGAACAAATATGGCATTTTGTTGGCTTCATATTTAGAACATACGTTATACGTTGATAATCATGTTCCTTATGTTTCAATCTAGGTTTGACATTTATATATCCAGCTATATTAAAAAAAAAGAATCAAAAAATGAAATGGCCAATTCTCGACATAGAATAAATGAAAACATAAAAATGAAATTGATTCAAAATCATTTTCAATTAACTTGAAATTGCTTAAAGGCTTTTAGAAAAATAAATTGAAATGAAATTCATTCCAAGTAATATTCATTTTAATATTCATTTTTGTTTGTTATTCTGTTTTTGTTTGTTTGTTTGTTTGTTTGTTTGTTTGTTTGTTTGTTATTCATTCAATTTCAACATCATCTAATAATGTTGATGTGCACCTGAAAATGATTATAATTTATTTTTTTTTTTTTGAAACCATAATTTTATTCTATATCTATTACATAATATTGTATAAAATTAAAATTCTATAGGGAATATTCTATCTTTTCAAGTTGAATTTCTTAATTTCCATATCAAATACGAAAAAAAGGTAAAGTAATGATAGAAGAAATGAATCACTCCAGTAAATTTCATAATGAATTTATTCAACGAAACTTGCCTAATTTTTTTAATGTAGCATTTGTACGTTTAGTTTCAAACTTTTTTTTATCATCCAAATGATCACGTATTGTATCATTACTGTTATTATCATTATTTTCACCATCATCATTATGTATAGAAATTGATCCAACCGAATTAAGTATTATATCGGATTTTGCACGTGTTATTGAAACTTTTGGTAATATTGATGTTGATTGAATACGTCCTAATTCGGATGAATATCTTCGATTACCTTTTATAACATTAATATAAGAATTTAATTACAAATTAATTAAGGTATATAGTGATTTAGAAAAACAATTTGAGAAAATTAATCAATAAACAAACAAACAAAAATCAAATAGTTCAATGAACATTGCACATTCCAATTATATCAAGTCTTTATCAAATTCTACAAATAGCATTCAATTTACAAGAAGAATAAACTGCAAGTTATAACTATTGATTATCATCATCATCATCGATCTAAATTAAAATCTTAAAAAAAGTGAGGTAAAAGACAAAGAAAAGATGTTGATGATAACAAAAAAAATAAAAAATAATCCTATTAAATCAGATTTATTTGTAGAGAAGTGAATGTAATATATAAAACATAATAATAATAAAAGATAAAAATAATTGAACACAAGAAATAAAAGATTTTATTTTCTTTCATCATCATCATCATCATCATCTAATATTGGTTTAAAATGAACTGTTTGAAATTATCTTGCAAAATATCATATCTTGTTTGTTGTTGTTTTGCCAATATGTCATTTCCTTTCATTGGTTTTAATTATCAACGAGTTATTTTTGGATTTTTTTTTTCTTCGGGAAAATAAAAACAACAACAACAACAAATTCCAAATGATCAAACTTTTTCATTATATACAGCATTTTTTTTAATGGCAGATAGAAAAAAAAATATCCTTTTCATTCATTTATAATGACTTGAAAGAAAAGTTCATTTAAATGATGATCAATTTATGATCAAGTTATTATTAGTGGACAATAAGAATTTCAAGGTCAGAATTTTTTTCTCTCTTCGATTCGTTTGTTCAAAATTTATTCATAGAATATAATTTAAAGTGATGAAAATTGATTTTGTTTTTCGAATTATATCATGCACATGCACGAAATCCAAATAAACATAATATAAAAGAGTGTATTGTAATATCCACCACTTGAAAAAAAAGTAAATCATAATAATGATATAGCCTCGAACAACTATGTATGTGTGTGTGTTCATAAACAAGAAACAAAACCAAACAAACAAAAAAATTCATTCGAAATTACAATTTAATTGAAGTTTGAGTTTACTTTGCCATCGGTTATCAACAACAACAAAAAAGAAAGAGATTCTACTGACCAGAAGCTACACAAATATACAATATATCAAACAAACAATAAACAGCAAAAATAACAAAGCCATATAACAAAAAAAAATCTGAAATTAAATCAAGTTTTATTCTTTTCGGTATTAATTTGGAGGTTAAACAAGAATTTCCGTTTCGAAGTTAAACTTTTCATTACCAAATGCCAATAACAACAAAACTTACTGAAAACAATTTTGATTATTATTTTATATATTTACAGATAGATTGTTTGAAACAGTCATCAAATATATATTGTTTTTTTTTTGTTATATTTTATTGCATACTATACGGAAAATAATTTAGTTAGTGACTGACTGACTTACTGACTTTCCAAAAAACATTCCGTTTTTTTATACCGTTAAGTAAATAAACGTAATCAATAGAAATGAGAATTGATAAAAAAAACTATAGATTTAATTTCCCAGATATTGATGGAATTAAATTTCGGAAATGAACAGAAATAGTTATTTTGTATAATGAAAAGTGATGGAGATACTGAAGATGTTGCTGTTTTTTGTTTTCTTTGCCTTTCTCTATCTATTTATCTTTCATCATCATAACTTATTCAGTATTTTTTTTCATTTCTAATGTTTTCCTTTTAGTAATAGGATTTTATGTTACATACAATCCATTGATTCGATTATAAAACTACATCGTTATTTTTTCATTCAATAATTTCATAGGATTCCAAAGCCAAGGTTATACAGAATTGGATAACAATGATTTTTTGTCTTTTTTGTTATAACGAAAATGAATGCTGTTGAATGTTGCAATACGAAAAAAAACGGAAGAAATAATTTTCAATTAATAATAATCTTTTCTTTTCCGAATGATTTAAGCCTGAAATGAAAACTTGTAATTTTGTTTTTTTATATACGAAATTAGTTTTGTTAAAATTGAAATTAAATACAATATATAGAAAAAATTAATTAATTTTCTAAAAACACCTAAACATTATTAGTAAAAATGATGAAGAATTGAACATCAAATCTTATCAATCTTAATGGCTTTTTTTCGTTATTCCCACGCAAACTACATAGAAAATTAATTGTATTGATATGAAAAAAAAATATTTGAACTTTAAGTGATTCAAAACCAGAAAAAAAGTTCTTATTCTTGAATCAATAATATTTAATTTACGCAATAAATCGATGATTGTCGAATAATTTAGGCGAATAACGCACACAAAATAATCGAAAGAATTATTATGAAAAAAGAAATTTATTGAAAAAGTTAAAATTTTCTTATTATTCCGGCGCATTAGTTTTACGAACAAGAAGAAAAATATAGATTTTTCAGCTTATTTTTTTCCCTCTCTTCCCATAATACATCATTCACTTAATCTATTAATGTTTTTTTTATTCTCAATATTTCTTTGAAATAAAAAAAACTAAAATTTTTTTTCCATTTCTATATTTATTCAAGAAAAAAATTAACTAAATGATGTTGTTGAAGTAAATGATTTCATATATTTGAACAAAAACGAAATGAAACGTGAAAAAAATATGAAAAACGAAAAATATTAAATGAAGCTTCAAAATCATATATGACAACAACAACAACTCAACAAGAATAAGAAGAAGAAAAACATGTCGTTCAGAAAAAAAAGGAACTACTCTTTTTCCATCATAAACACACACCCACACTCAAAAAAACATGATGACATTTTTTTCGCGAATCTATAATAATTTCATTTCATTTTGATTCTAACTATAAATATCAATATTTTATTATACAGAATTATTCAGATCTTAGATCTTTTTCAACTAATATTCAACATTATCATCATCATCATCATCATCATCACGGGATCTTAGTCATTCATAATAAAATGATGATGATGATGACATGATGAACAGAATATAAAGAAATTGAATCGAAAAAAGAAAAAAAAAATGATCCGAACAAATGCAAATCGATAGATAAGATAGATAGAAATGCGAACAAGACAGAAACAAATCAACAACGACAGCAGAAACAAAAAAAGACAAATGACAAAACAAATAAATTTCATTTCCATTAAATAATTTGCATTATGGTCCATTTATTATTAAAGTTTATTCAAACATATTTTCATACAAAATAGACACCTATGGTTTCTTTCAACCCAAAACAATATTGAAATATTGTGAAAAGAAAAGAAATTTGTTGTTATCTGAAACATAAATTCAAACAAATACAAATGAACATCGAGATGTCTTTGCATAATTGTGTCAACCTCTTGACAATCAAGATGATATATCGAAATAAAAACAAACAGACAAGAATGCGATACAATGTCTAACGTCATCAGAAAAATAAAATGAACTAGGAATATTTTTCGACACATTATAACTGTGAAATACCAAAAAAAAAAAAACATTAATTTATCCTATTCACTTAATCATTATTTAGTTAGATATAACCTATATTTATAAATAAGAAAAAATATCGTTCAATCATTCAATATGTCATCCGATAAATATGAATTGACAAAAAATATAATTAAACATTAAGTAACGAATATGATCAAGCGTAAGATTATATTACAAGCAAGTAAACAAATAAACAAAACAAAAATAGACTATAATTAACCTTGAAGATCAGCATCTTGTAAACAAAGTTGATCACTATTAGTTCGATTCGAAATTGTCGCATAAGAATTACGTCGGTCATTATTATCGATGTAAATTTCTTCATCATTATGATGATTATGATGATGATCCATTTCGAATGTAACACATAAACGTGTTCGTTGTGCCATATTGTTGTATTTTGAATAAAAAAATCTTCTCAAGAAAATTAATTTTGTTGTTGTTGTTGTTGAAATTTTTAATTCGAATTTCAGGTGAAAATTCTTTGCACTGAATACATCATTAAATTGTCAATAGAATTTAGCATTTAATTTGAATTCAGCATTGATTTCGAAATATAAATTTCCGTTCCATTACAAATTGAACAATATTGAACCCTTTTGAATTTTTAAAATTGTCAAAATAAACAATTGTTGTTATTGTCGGATTTGTTATTTGAAATAAATTGAACATCACACAATTTTCAATTCGAGAACAAAATTCAACTGACTTTAAATCAATGATGTTTTTCTATGATTCTTTTGGTTGATGATGAATCTACCAGTCGTCAATGCACATCAAACACTGAATGATCATTATTTTCTTTTCTTTTAAAATTGAGAATCGAAACAGATGATGCTTTGATAATGATTATCATTCCCGCCGATGACAACGATTCAATATTTCGGGTATTTTTTCATATTCCAATATAATTGAATAAATTTTCAGTGTCAGTGTCAGTGCTATATGTGTGTTTTGTATGGCTGCTTGCTACTCACATACATACATACATACAATCATCATCAATATGAATGAATAACCGGAATGACGTTAACCGACAACTATCAATATCATCACATTATTTTTTTTCTAACATGCGCATTGAAAACATTTTCAAGGTTTCAATTTAGTTCCAACAACGACAACAACAACAACCCAACATCATCAGAAAAAAAACGGATATTCTCTTTGGTTGATATACCAAATGAATTGAAATCACAATTTTCAACAGTATTATAGATAGATAGATATACAAATAAACAACAACATCAACAGTCAATTTAGATGAAGTTAAGAAAATCAAAGATTAAATCTTGAATATAAAAAACTTAATATACGAAAACATATGCGCATTGGATATTTTTCAAAATTTTTTTTTCAATTTATTCATTTTGATATTTCAATTTATCCGTACAAACATTTGTAAAAAAATGATGATAATAATGATGATAATGAATGACTTGTTATCAAGTTTCATCATTAATATTCCGACAGATTATTATTATTAAATAAGTGATTATTTAATTCTTGTGAAGAAATAATCGTTTGTTCATCTTTCAAATTCTTTTTACATTGTTGAACTGTTTTTTTTGTTTTGTTTTGGCTTTGTAAAATTGTGACAAAAATAAATCAAATTTGTTTCTGTTTGTTTCGAAAATCGGCTTTCCGAAAATCTGCTTTTTTGTTGACGTTACCAAGTTTCTAATGACATTTACTATTTATTTTTTGTCATGACAACTTTGAAAAAATAACGTTTGATTTTTTCATAATAATCTTTATGAAAATAATAATTATCATCAAAAAATATTCTTGTGTCAGATGATTGGATTTAGTATTACATAATTACTGTACCATAACTATGATTTATTAAAAAATAAAATCAAGTTCATAAGTTTGAATCGATAAAAATGAAATTTCAAAAAAAAGCCAAAATAGAAAAAGACCAGCATGCTTTTTTTCGGCTTTTAATGATCTGTAGACGATTAAGAATGTTGAAAATGATAAAACAAGCAATTTGCTTCCATTGCTTCCAATTTTTTCTTTGTACTTGATAAAATTCACAAAGATTTTCTATGCATCAAAATTTAGTTTCATAAATGTGACAGCAACATTCATCGGAAATCGTTTCGACATCGTTAAAAATAGTCATCACTATTTTCCGATCGGTTTTTGTTTTATCATTTTTCATTCACATTGATTGTGTACAAAAAAAGAGAAAGGGAAAAAATCATCGAATAAACAATCTCGTCCAAAATCAATATGAATTGCAGAAGAAAAAATTGAAATTGAAATTTTACAAAATTTAGAATTTCAATATCAAAATATTCTAATCTATGAATTGAATTCAGGACCTTCAAGTAGACAAGGAACAAGGAATTTTTTTTTTGACAAGATCATTATATAAATAAAACATTTTTTTTGTGCAAATAATTTGATCGATTAGGTATATTATCAAATCATGATCGATCACATTCTGATTTTAAATTTTTTTTTATTCTGGTATATATTTGTTCTCATGTTTATTCACTTGTTGTTGTGTCACGATTGTTGTTGACATTTTATCCATTGTTTGTTGAGCGATATTGGCCTTGAAATAGATTTCCGAACATCATTAAAATTGTATTTTCAATGAAGAAAAAAAAATCATTTCATTCTAATGGTTTTCATAATGTGAAACAACTATCCGGTAGCATGAATTGAATAAAAAAAATAAATAAAATGATTATATATGATGATTCATAGAACGGAATTCCTTTCCACACATTTTTGTTCCATTTATATTTATTTTTTTTCATTAGAAAATCAAAAATTTTTTTTTTCGACAAATTTTTAATGTAAATTTCACATATTTATATTATGATCACATCATTATCATTAGTTCAAATTTAACGATATAGAAATGATGATGAAAAGTAATTATTCTGAAAAAAATTGGAATATTTTTGTTGTTTTTACAATGCTTAAAGATTCTATGATTCATTATATATATAGAATGAGAGAAAATAACCATAGAATGAGCAAAGAATATTAGAAATTCTTGATGATATTATTCAAATGAATGGATTCATATATGAAAAGAAACATTGACAAAAATGTTTATGAACAAAACAAACAGTAAAAGGAATAAAGTGAATAAAGATTAAAGTGAATGTCACTTTCAAAAATGTAAATTATATTTATTAATCCATATTATTTTATTCATCAATTTGTCTAAAAAAATGACAATGTTATTTTATACGGATGAGAAAAAAATGAATTTTTGTATTCGGATGATTTAATTTTTTCGTTTTAATATTGGCAATCCAGAACTGTTTTTCAATTTCATCGATTTTAAATTCGAAGATGTTGAAATAGGTAAACGAGATTTTTGCAAACTTGTCAATCTTGGTAAATGTGATTTCATCGTTCGATTTGATTGTGAAACTTTATTTTCATTGGACGGAAATGTACGAATCTGTAATGTAAAACGTTAATTAGTTTTCTTCAAAAAACATCATTTCAAATTTTTTTAACGAATGAAATACCTTGCGATCGCTACTGGTTGCAGATGAATTTGATGGCAAAAATTTTGGCGTAACAATTCGAGTTTGAAATTGTTTTTCATTTTTATTACATAAACTAATCAAAGGTGAACGTATAGCGATTGGTATAGAAGTTGCTATCTTCATTTGTTCATTCTTTTTGGGTTGTTGTTGTTCATGTTGATTGTTTTTGAATTTATTTGTCGAATCTAAATTATTTTTTTGTTGAGATTTTTCGGCAATCAGTAATTCATTTTTTTCTATTTCAACATCGATTGGTTTGGCAGTATCAACATGAGATGTTGGTGATTTAATCGAATCAACAACAATATCAGATTGTGAACAGGATGTCGACAATAAGAAATTACATGATGTATTGGTTAAATCTAACAATGTAGGATTTTTATCCAACTCATCATCGAGAATTAATGAACAAGATATTTTCCCATAATCCTCATTGGCTGTTTTTTTCATACTTGATGATGTATTAATTTGATCAATAACATCATTAATAGGAACGTGACACACTTCATTCGATTGTTGTTGTATTTGTTCATCATTAAAATTCTCATTATTGATAATAATTGGTACTTCTATTGACGGAATTATATATTCCGTATTATTTTTTGGATCATTCACCTCATCATTTTCTAGTTTCGCTAATTCCATCAAATCATAAGCTATTAAGGTAAAAATAATGAAAAAAGAAATAAATTTTTTCTTTCGAAACATATGGCACAAATAACAAACAAAATAATCATTACCTTCATCTTTTTGATAAGTCAATTTTTCCTGTGTTTCATTTTTTTCAAAACAAGATAGATGATCCAATTGTGATAACGAAACATCCAATAAATTTATTACGCTTCCATTTCCTAATACCGTAACTAATAAACAAAGCAAAAATTAATCAAAATTTAATGTCATTTATTAATTTAGTTTCTTTGATTAATACCTGGAAGTTTATCGCCAACATCGGTAGTGTATTTCGATGGTTCAATAATTGAACAATCCAAGAGTTTTTCAATTATTTGTTCGCCGCTTTTTTCGCTAGATTCGGCTTTGATTTTAATTGGCTGTTGTTCAATATCAATTGATGATGATGACTTTGAGTGTAAGTCTACTCCAGTCGATTCTTTGAAAGCTAAATTCAAAATATTGACCGAACTAAGCTCGCTTGAAACTAAATTAAGTAGAACATTTGAGATTTTAAAATTCATATTGGTATAAAGAAATTCAAATCAACTCATACCTGATCGACTGGTTTGCAAAATTCCCGAATCAGATCTTGTTTCAACAATTGAATTAGGATTATTGATTGATTCTATTTTAAATAAAATATAACGATTTGAACTTTTATAATAAATTCAAATAAATCTAACCTGATGTAGATCGGATTTCTGATAGATCTAAACATCTCATCAATTCATTTTTGATCGATTCTGTTGGTTGATTTGGTTGTTCATTGGAAGATGTTAAAATTTTTGATAGATATAAATCCATGTTCTCCTCACAATTGTTGCTGATATTACCCTCGTCAACCAAGGAGGTCGAGTTTAGTTTTAAAATTGAATTGAAATTCTGTGACGTAATTACCATTGATGAGACATTTTGTTGATCAACATCACTTTTGAATGAACTTTCAATACTGATTTGATTTTCATTGTTTGGATGTTGTGGAGAATCAAAATCAGTTACTGAATAGAAAGTTGATTTAGAAGAATTTTGTTCATTTTCAGCCGTTTGATTTAATATGCTTTCATTCGATTTTTCATGATTATTCCACGAAACAATGCTATCTTCATAAGAATCCAAAAGGAGAGTTTTGTCATATTCATTTTCAGCCATTTTCGTTCGATAAAAATGATTCTTTTAAGAAAAATATTGGCGGTTTTTTTTATGTTTAACGGTTGACAACATATGCGGGCATGAATAAACAATTGGAAAAAACCGTTGGAAAGTGTGCATCAATGGTACAATGCTACCATCTATTAGTGCAAATTGGAAAACTAATCGAATTGTCACGTGTTGTCCATTTAATGATAGAATTCATGAATATTCTCGCGAATCTTTAGCAATTTGCTTATATTATGGATGAACAATCCGAAAAAATTGGAAGATTATGGACGGTTAGTATCGCTGTTCCATCATCGATTGTTGATAATGCTCAATCAGCCGAATTGAAATCATATCTTGTTGGACAAATTGCTCGTTCATTGGTCATATTTAAAATTGATGAAATTATCATTTATGATGAATATTGTATTCCTGGGTAACTATTTTATTCTATTCGAACAAATTTCAATTATTAACTAAAAAAATTGTTGAATCAGTACTCCAGAACAAGTCATTCTTGACAAAAGAAAAGAATCAATGGTTCAAGCTATACGAATTCTAGAATATCTTGAATGTCCTCAGTATTTACGACGACAGCTGTTTCCCATACAAAAATATTTGCAATATGCTGGTTTATTGAATCCGCTAGAAGCACCGAATCATTTAAGTTCTAAAGATCAATGTCCATATCGAGAAGGTATCGTTCTTAATAAGCCACATAAACAAGGATCATTTGTCAATATTGGTCTCAAACAGGACTGTCAAGTGGATCGAAGTTTGCAGCCTAATGTTCGTGTTACAGTCAAGCTTGAACCAAATTCAAAAAAATTACGTGGAAAAATTGTTTCTCCATCTGAACCAAGAGAAAAATTGGGCCTTTATTGGGGTTATTCAATACGAATGGCCAATTCTTTGAGTGAAGTCTTTGATGGCTGTCCATATGAAGGTGGTTACGATTTAAAAATAGGCACATCAGATAAAGGTGACAATGTGGATAAAACAATAAAGAAAATTCCTTTCACAAGTTCAATGCATTCGTTGATTGTTTTCGGAGGATTACGTGGTATCGAATCGGCACATGAATCTGATGAATCATTGAGTCATGTCCAAGAAACAAGCGAATTATTCGATTATTATTTGAACACTTGTCCAAATCAAGGATCAGATACGATTCGTACTGAAGTGAGTGATATATACAAATCAATTTATCCATATTGTAATGGTAGTTCAATAATCTGTCTTTTTTTTGGTCTTATAGGAAGCCATTTTGATAACGTTATCTGTATTACGGCGTCGTTTATTTAAACAACGAATTTGAAAGCAATGGCAAATTTTATTTTCATGTATACCTTTTTTGTTCATGTTCATTGATTAAATTATATTGTTATTCATAATTAAATTTTTTTTTATTAACAAAACTGTAAACGTTATAATAAAAACATGTTGCAAAAATGAACAAACTTTGAAATTCGCCAATGGTGATTTGGTCGTATACAAATTACAATCATATTTAGTGTAGATGATAAAGTCAACAAAAATAATTAGATTAATCAATAAGGCGAAACGAAAATCAACAATAAATGGAAAAGTATTATCAGAAAATGCCTATACAATTCGTCCATTTCTAAGATCAACGATGGATACAACATCAACGGAAATGGTAAATGTAACGAATTCGGATGAAAGTCTTAGCCAACCAGATCAAAAATCAACTGACAAATATTATGTTTTGATAGTGAATTCATCATCAAATCGCTGCGTACGTTTGTTAAGTACTGCTCGATTGGTACTTTTAAGTTTATCAATCTGGCAATTAGTATTGATTTTAAGTAGTTTATTTGCAATACTTGAATCTGTATGGCGAAAACCTAATGAATTGGTCATTGATGATCGTAAATTTTATTGGTTAAGCTTTTTAGAAGATATTCTAATATTTATCTGGTCAACTGGATCCATTTCTACAATTCTTACAACCGAAGTATTTATATTAACAACTGAACCAGGAAGAAAAACTGTAACAAAAACAACAAAACAAATAAATAATACATCTTCATTTACCATGTTTGGAATTTTCGCCTTAATTTTGATTATATTCGAAATTCTTTTATTTACTCGATCGATATTGTTCATAATAAATGAGGATCCTTCAATGTTAAATGGTAAGAATCTTGATTAATAAAACTTTTTTTCATTTTATAAATGATGTTGATAATCATTTCAACACCTGAATGCAATAATTTATTTATCCATAATCCATTTCGTTTATTTACTAATCTTTTAATGTGCTTATTTTCTAAATATATTAAAATAAGGCTTTGGATGGCAAGAAACAAGTCATTTATTAACATTGTCCATCTCAAGGATCATCTGCTTTTTACTTTGGATATTTTTTATGAATAGTCAATTATCATTAATACCATGGAGTAAAGATCAATTCGAATTATCAATGGAAGATCCAATGACTGAAGAAATCACATTAAATCCTTGTTCACCAATATATATTGGAAGAATTAGGCAAATCAATCGATAATAAAAACAAATCCCATCAAATAATACATTCAACACATTAGCATTTCAACAATGTGTACATCAATATTAACAATGAAAAAAAAATCGAATATTTATTCGCTGTCTTTATTTCTACAATTAGATTTGAACAATAAATTCATTGTATATTATAATAATACAAACTTATACGGATCGTTAGTCATCAAGCTATTGTTTTTAAGTAAGGACGCGAAAAGAGGTTAGTTAGTCAGACAAAAGATTCCAAAGCAATTTGGTTTTTCCGTAGTAACAACAATAAATACAACAACAACAACAACAATAGACAAGGGAATCATTCGTTTACAATTTGTGCTAACAAAAACGATTGATAATCCTCGATAATTATCATTATTAACTGAATAACAACAGAAACAGGAAAAAAATTATAGTTGAACAATAATTTCGGTTCATTTCATTATGGGTACATCTTAATAAGAGTATTTGACAATAGGATTTATATTTTTAAGTGAATTCAAATTTAATCGAATAGAAAAAACCAAATGAGCAGATGAATGAAGAAAAAAGATGACAATCATTATAAGGATAAGCATCAATTTCTTTTTTCCCTTTTTGTGTATTCATTGTCGTCCAATTCAATGTATAAACAAGGCAGCTAAACGGAATATGTAAAAAACATTATATTCGGTTGTTAACAAAAAAGTGAAAAAATTCTTCAACAAAATACAAATTTTATATGTAAAATTATTTTATTTCATCAAAAATCATGATCTTTTATTAATTATTTCATATGATATGTTCAATATCGATTTGTTCATTCATTTATTAATTCTTTCTATTGATGAAAATCTCCATGTTCCATGATTTACATCTTTTTATTCATTTATTTATAAGTTTGTTGATGGTTATTTCATTCAGGATTCATGTCTTTATTTACATCATTTTTTTTCTTCGATATTGTACTCGTTTTCGTTTTCAAGGTTAATTCACAATGTAATGATAATCAACGTTGTCTGCCCTTTATTCCACAAAGTATTCGACGAAATCCGTTCCGAAAATCAGGACTGAATACAATTTAAAAAATAAAATAATTAATTGAATTGCCAAATTTTCATCTTATGACCATACCTGAAAATTGTATATATTATTGGATTGAGCAATGAATTACAATAACCTAGCCATAAAAATATACTGAAAGTATATTTGCTAGGTTGACAATTCTTGCATAAAGGCATCACTAAAGCCATGACAAAAAATGGTAGCCAACATATGACGAATATACCTGAATGAATAAAAAAAACGAAAAATTGTGTCAAAAAATATGATGAAAAAAAATAACATACCAGTGATAATGGCCAAAATTTTTGCTGCTTTTCGTTCACGTTTTGATTCGATAGATTCTTTAATTGCTTTTCGTAATTGTAATTGATTCATTTGTAGATTTTTTTGAGCATTTTTATGATTTGTTTCATTTTCAATTGTTGTCGTTGTTGCCGGTGTTGTAATATGAATGGATTGTTGTACGGTTGTGGGGGAAATATCATTCAGACCAGAATAATCAATGTCACTATTACAAGTTATCGTTAAAGATTTCGATGGAGGTGTCGATGTAGAATTCTTTTTCAAACATTGTACTTCATTCGAATCGGCAATAATTATTGTATTCTCATCTATAGAAGATGATGAAGATGATGATGTTGATGATGATAAATGTCGACGATGATTTCCATGTTTCAAATCACTATTATTTGAATTTGTAAAACTATCTTTTTTATTGTTATTTTTAACATTATTATTGATGTGATTATTGTTGATATAATGATGTTGAACATTTTGATTCATTAATGTGGAAGCATTCAAATCGACAAGACACAAGTTTTCAATATTATTATTATTATCGCCAATATACGAATCATCACAGCTATCATGATATCCTTCATTAGAATCATTTGTACAATGTAGCTCTATATGTCGTAATTGTTGCTGTTGTTGTTGATGTTGTTTCAATTCATCTTTGTTCATCATATCGTCATCATCATCAAGATTACAATGGCCTAAAATGGAATAATGAAGAAATTTTTAGAAAAAAAGAAAAAAAATGAGATTCCCATTAATGATCATCATACCTTTTTCATGTGAAAATTCCATCGATTCGATTCGATCATCACTATTGTTATTATTATTATTATTAGTATTGTTTCGTAATACTTGATTTGATAAATCTTTTTCCATAGATGTTGATGGTAATTTTTGTGGTAATGAAAATATTCTTTTTTTGAATGAAAACTTTTTTGTAACAATTTCATCGTCATCTATTGAATAGAATATAGAACATTGATGAGAATTAATGAAGAAAAATTTAGTTTAAACTATAGAATAAGATGATGATGTATTTAGAATAAAACCGATTAAATGTCTGAAGAAAAAAAAATTTTTTTTTTCCAAGTGCAAAAGTGAATTTAATGCAATCAGATTTGGATAAGGAAAGAATATCGAAACTTTTCATTTCTATTTCACAATGAATTTTTTATTTTGTCTTATTAAAATTTGATTCAAATAAAATTAATTGAGATAACTATAGAAAAAGGTTTCATTGCTATTTCACACTAATTGGAAATTTTGTACATTATTTTAATCTATTTGTAGTTTTTTGTTGTTGTTGTTGTTGTTGTTGTTTATCTATGCATAGCGGAAATATGATTACAATATGATAATGATGATATTGAAATATTAATTAGGCAAAGATTATTATTATGATTATCAATAATTATTATTGAAATTTGAATTGAAATAAAACTTTCCTGTACAAACAACTATGATTGAATCTATAGTGTAAATGTTTGATTCAAACGTTAATTAATTTTTAAAAGAATAATTAATTGAAATTTAATAAAATGCTCGTGATAATAATGAACGCAAAAGAACAAATATTTGAAAAACAAACATAATTATGCAAGCAAACGAAATCGAACAACTTACCAATATGTATCATCATTTTTGGATTGACTGTAGCAGAAGCTGGTGTAATTGTTTTGCCTGGTTTATGACGGATACGTTTTCGTGCAACCTATGTTATTATTATTCATGTTTGGAATTAATTGAAAATGAAAAAAAATATAAAAGTAAACAATTTGATTCAAGTTAAATAGACAAATGAATCTGAATTTTTTTGCCCCGTTTTCTATAGAACCCTTTTCCAATTAAAAAATTTTTTTTTCCGAACGATAATTTGTTACAATAATGTTTAATATAAACTTTATTCTCATTGGAATTCTCATTGAAAATATAGCAATACGATTCATATTCAAAAAAGTTTTCAGTACAAAAAATAGGATGTGATTAATTTAGAGCAAGAAAAAAAAAATTCTCACGAGTTTTCAGACTAATAGTTCTCAAGCGATTAAATTCTGTACACTGACTTTTGGGAATTTGTCATTCCTCGACAATAATGATGAAAAAAATTTCACTTGCACAAAAAAAAAACTTCAAAAACTATCAATTTTTTTCCATGATCAAACAAAAATAAATCGTTGATATTTGAGGAAACTATTGATTTTCATATAACAATGAAAATTTCAGTACATTTATCATTTGGATTTGATTGAATGAATTTTTGACAAAATCAGTCAACAAAAAAAAAGAGAAGAAGATCGACTAACCTGATAAATTTTCCAATAAAGAAGTAGAATAAATATTAATGGACCATAAAATGTAGAAATAGTTGCAAAAACTTGATAACCAATATCTTGTGAAATTAGACAACGTTTTTCTTGTTCAACACGTACATTAAAATATGGATCTTTCCAACCAAGTATTGGAGGTATTGAAACGATTGCAGCCACTGTCCATACAGCAAATATCATCCAACATATTCTTTGTGGTGTACGTTTATGTATATAATCAACATATGTAACAGCCCAATAACGATCCTAATATTATTGGTTGTTTATAACAATGTAAAATTTCAACAAAAAAAACATTAGATATTTGTTGAATATCAACATCTATTTTAATAATATGATTCTGAATTGTTAATGTATGCAAGAGATGTTGAAATGAATTTTTCATGAAAACACCAAAAACAACGAAAGAATATTTTAAATGATAAAAAAATGTTGATTCGATAAGAACCAAAAAAAAAACTTACCAAAGCGATGGCCAAAAGATGTAGTATACTAGCTGTACAGCAAAGAACATCGGCCGATGTCCATACATCACATAATAATGTACCTAATGACCATTGTTGACGAATTTCACTAACGGCACCCAATGGCATTACAAAACAGGCAACCATTAAATCTGCAACAGCTAATGATAATACTAAATAATTAGCAGTAGTACGTAAATTACGTTCCATTATAATGGCAGCAATCACAAATACGTTTCCAATAATAGTCAAACAAGTTAATATGCCTAAAATTAGGCTTACGGATATAATATAAACAATAATATTATCTTCAACATTAACATCAACTTCGACAGCGGCAACAGTAAAAGCCGAAGTTGTTGTTGTTGTTGTTACAGTGGTGGTGACAATAACCGGCACAATATTTGTTTGATTTTCGTTCTCCATTTCTCATTTACATTGATAAAGAATGATGATGATGATGATGATCTGATAATGATTATGTTGAAAATGATAATGATAGTGGTGTGTTTTTTGTTTCTATGGAATTATTTTCAAAGAATATTATTATTTGATAATTTCTTTTTTTTTTGTTATCGTAATATTTACACATTTAGCTTTTTTTCAATTATTATCTAAACAAAAACAACAACAACAAAAAAAAAGATGAAATAACTTTGAATAAAATCATACGGGTAAACACAACAAACAATAATAGAAGACAGGCCTCTGTGATTGATTCAAAACCAAAACAAAACAAAAAAGGAAGAAGTTTTATGTCAATATCACGTTTTTGTCGTTGTCTTTGTCATCATTATTTTCATCATCGCTATTGTTTTTGCTGTTGTTGTTGTCGTTATCATTATTATTTTCAATATTCTTTTTGTTTTTCCGGTACAGTTTTTATTTAAATACATTTTCATATATGACAATCAGATAGGATTAGAGTCAGAAAAAAAAGTCAGAAAGAAAAATAATCAAATGATGATGATGATGATGATGATATTTACTGATGAAACAAAATTAAACGAAATACAGTTCACGTAAACATTATGGTTATTCGTTTTTTTGTTGTTCAAAATGAATTGGATTTTGTATCCTATATGAAAACGAAAAAAAAAATGAATGAAAATCAATATTATTATTATTATTATTCAATGACATTTACAAACAAAAAAGAATATGCATTCGAAAAGAACCTAAACCAATGACAGAATAAATGAGGGAGGAAAAAAAAGAATTTCATTTCATTTTTCAAATTCCAAGTTTGAATATATTGGGAAGAACATTTTTGAATTTTGAATTTTTTTTTTTTGCTTTTCTTTTCCGTTCTGATCAATTTTACCAAACAAAAATGGCATTGATATTTTTTTTCACAAAACTAATTCGATAACACAGAAAAAATAATAATGAACTAAAAAAAAGTTTTTGGTTTTCATTATAGAATTCGTTTATCGTTTTTGTTTGCATTCATGTCCATCATTAGGATTCGTTTCGTTTCGTTTTTTTTGCTGAATGTAACAGCAGAAAAAAAAACTTTATCGGTATTTTTGGAGGAAAAGTAAAAAGTTTAGATTTTTTAACACTATTTGTTCATGAGATAATAATAAAAAAAATACATTCGTTTGATGCCGGTAAATTTTTTTTCTTCTTCTTCTTCTTCGTTTAGTTTGGTAATATTATTATCAGAAAAACATTTGGCTATTTGAAATATTCTATGTTTTTTTTTATATCGTTAAACTTTGATATATGGTTGAATGGTTGTTAAAGTGTTAGAATATTTTTGCTATTTTCATTATAATGATTTTGATTTTGGTTGATTGTGTGACATTTTTGTACTAAATACGTTTTTTTTCTTCTTCACTGTTTTACGTGCTGGAATTCCATCGAACTAACCGTTTTGAAAAAACTACAGTAACTTTATCGAACGAAAACGGAAACAGGCAAAAAGTTTTTTTTTCTATCCGATCTTTATTATTTTTTTTCACCGCCACTTATTCATGAAATTTGTGAATTTTTTTCCTCACTCTCTCCATAATTTCACAATACTTTTTAACAAGAATCATATAAATATAAACCGTTTAAAATAAATTAAACGAGAACATTGAGAATTTGAATCGATTTTTTTTCTGGCTTTGAACAAAAAAAACTCTCAAATGATCCAATATTTGTTCGCACAACAACAACAACAACAACAAACTTTTTTCTACTCAAATGATTTCGATAATTTTCATTTTACAAATGATCGATATAACCAACAAAAAAAATTGCAGTGAATTTGACGGGTTTTTGTTGAAAATTTTGAAATTAAAAAAAAAACATATGCTTATTCATATGACCTTTTGAAGAATTGTTAATAAGAAAAGTTGATATTAATATTTGCTGTTGTTGTTTTTTTCACGGCAATCGTTTTATCATCTGTTAAGTTTTATCGATTTGGATGTGAAATTATAGAAAAAAACATTGCCTAAACATGAAGCAAAGTTAATCGACAAGAATGAAATTGAAAAAAGAGATTTTATTCAACATGAATATTCGAGTGAATATAAAATTGGCTAACAAATAGATCATTTTCATTACAATCATCGCAAAAAAAAGAACAAGCAAAACCATTATGAACAAAACTATAGATCAAAAAGAGGATAGGATGTCCAGCAATGAAGACCAAAACAAAAAAAAACAATAACAACAACTAACGGAAAAGCTATTATATTCATTTTTTTTTATTGTTAAAATAACATTTATATAAATACATTGATTGTCTTTCATGTCACGAAATAGACTTTTTTTACATTTCTATTGTCATCATTATCATTATCATCATCATCATCGTTGTTGTTGTTGAAGTATTTTTAGAACCAATTAAAATAATAAATTCATAGTAATGGATGCTATGAATGTAATAATTGTACATTTGATTCATATACAAATACAGAATATTACAATGTATAAACACTGAATCATATGATTCCGTATTGAATTTCTATTGTCGAGCAAAAAGAAAAAATTACATATAATACTTTTATTGTCATGAAAATAATGACAAAACGAAGAAAAAAAAATATTCCATTGTCAACGAATCAATCACATTTTAAATATAAATAAAGATCAAAAATTTCGTTTTGTATTTATGAGAAAATGGTGAAAAACAAAAAAATTTTTTGGCACAAACCGAAAAAGATTTGTCAATTTAGTCCATTTTTATTATTATTTCGATTTACTTTTATTTTGATTATTCTGATCACAACACTATATAGGCTACCATTATTATTTGATTAATAAAAATCAATGAATAATTAAACAATTATTAACTGTTTGATTGAAATGATAAATGTTTGATGAGAATTATTTCGGGTATTCATGTATGATGAAACAGAATCTATAGATATGTAGTTGTGAAACAAATGTAAATGTATTTTGTAAATAAAAATTTGATAAACAATGTTTGAAGTTTGCATTTAAAATAATAACCGAAAAAAAAATATGAACAAGTTTATTGCCATTAAATTTACAAACAATATGAATGAATAAATGTAAAACAAAACGACTGAAAACAAGCAAAAAAAACGAAAAAAATAGACAAAAAAAACATAATGAAAAAGTTTAGTTCGTGGTTTTGTTTGTTTTAGACAGCGAAAAAAAATGACTTTAGAATTTCATAACATTTAAATTTTAACAGAATTTGTCTGTTAAAAAAAATTCAACAGAAATCGTTTTTTTCCCTTTTAAATTCATTGATTTCATCATACTATATTCAAATTTATTCATTTTCGTCATGCGATTTTTGTGTTGTTCTACTTTCTTTCGTTTGTCCTTCAGAATTTTGATTATTCGTATTAATCACCATAAACTGATACGATAAAACTTATCGATACCGAACGGAAAAAAGAAAACAAACAAACAATAACAAAAAAAAATATGATGAGATATCTATACTTTTTGAAAAATTATGATTCATATTTTCATCTTATCATTATACATGTCAAATGAGAAATGTACTCAATCACCAGAATCGTCGAGATGATTTTTTTTTCTTACGTCGATTACAAATGATAAGAATATTTTAAGCATTTTTTTTTCTTTTGGTTGCTGTTGTTGTTTTTGTTTTGAGCGGGCGAGGCTTTGATAAAAGCAAAAAAAACTAAACATTAACATCAATTCATCATTTTCACACCACCACCATCAGTTTATCCTGAAATAGGTCAAACGATATCATGATTGTTCTTTCGTTGAGAATTCTTCAAACAAACCAAAAAAAAGAAAAAAAATACCATCATAAAAGAATCATTTTTCATAATGAGCCCAGAATAAAAAAAAATAAATAATTTTATACTCCTAACCATCATATCATGTGTATTTAATGCGGAAAAGAAAAACATTGATAATAATAATAATAATATGATATTCTTCATTCATAATTTTTTTTTTGGGTGGGGGCATATGGCCAACACACAAACACATACATGCATCATCATAATTAATGGACAAGCTTATATAACACAAGCCACATTTATATTGACAAAAAAAAAACCAAAAAAGTGTTATGAAAACAAACTACAGGACTATGACTATTGTTATTGATTTTTCTTTTGTTGATTCTTGAAAAGCATCATGAAAAAAAATTACTATAATTCCAGCCCATCAATCAATCAGATTAAGATATAAGAATTATACGGTACACGAATCTCCTATAGAATCATTATTATTATAATTATCAAGATCATCAATTAAAAATAAAATTAGTAATTGTGATAAGCAAATGAAATTATAAGAAAAACAACGAAAAAACGATAATCAATTTTATGATTATAAGAAAGGGGAGGCGAAAAAAATTCAACAATCAGAATAATGTGAACAAGTGTGAAACAAAAGGGAAAACAAAAAAATAACTCAAAAGTTGAGATATGAAAACAAAAAGAAAATATATCGATCATGATGTACATAATTCATTCATATATGAACAATCATCCATCAAATTTGATGTTATTGTAATTTGATTTACCAGAGAGAGAGAGAATGAGAAAAAAACTTTTCAGATAATATTATCGATATGATGATAGTGATGTGAGATTGTTGGACAAATCAGTCATTTTTCATTTAGTCTTGTTATTTTTTAAAACAAGAACATTAACGATTATAATAAGCGATGATCATTATCCAATATAATTTTTCGACAAGAATGTCCTAATAGAAAAAAAACAATAATCAAACACTAAACATTATGATCAATAATGAAAAATGTTGATGAAAAAAATAGAACCATATAGTCAAAATATTCCCAGAAGAGAGAGTGTGATCGGAAAAAAAACTAGTGACAAAAAAAATTTCCCGTCATTACAAACATTTTTATGAAAGTGATTTTTTATTCAGTGAAGTCCATTCATGCATCCATCAATCTATCTATCCATCCATCCATTCATTGAAAACATACATTATAATTTAGTTTGTTTATATTATGTGAGTGTATACAAACAACAAACAACAACAAAATTTTTTTTTTGCCAATTTTGTTGTCATCATTGGTTATCATCATCATCCTATTTATCTTTTTTTT